ACTCTAAGAAAATTACTTGATTACACCTATCTACTTCATTTATCTTTGTACACCAGTAATATAGATGTATTGAAGGTACAATAGTATTGTGAATCATTAAAAAATGTCTGAAAATATTTTCTAATGAAAATAATATAGAATACATACAATAAAATATAGGTTCAATTATCATAATGTTATTGCGCATGCTCAAATGTATGTCTGAAGCATCGTAAAGATTAATTTCATGATCACATAGTACCAGTCAAGCAAAAAATAAATGTGATGTTCAATTTTCCTTGCAAAAATTTGTTTGCGAACAATTCATTATGATATGCGAAAAAATCTAAATATATTACAAGATTACATGTTAATACTTGGCTCAAATATATAATAAAAAGAATTAAAAGAAATACTAACAATAAGATTCAAGACGAATAAACTAATCTGATAATTTTATAGATCACCAAATAAATTGAGTTTTCTTTAATAATATTAGGTTCTTCTATCAATAAATTACTAAAGTAATGAGCCAAATAAAATACAAAAAATGTTTAACAATATTGTGTGAGAAAATTTGTCTTCAATTCTATATGTCAACACACGGGGGTGGGCTAGATGTTGGTGCAGTATCAACAGTTTGTGCAGATGATGATGCTACTGATGGTGACTTATTCTCAGTAGTTAACCTTTGTTTAGCGAACATAAATTGTTCCATTAATTCATGATGAGCTTCTAGCCGTTCAATACAATGTAGACATGCTGTTTTTGGTAATAGGTCATTCATGTTTACCTGTGTGACAAAGGGCAAAATTGTATGATTTTTAACAAAATATAAGTGAAATTATTAATATCATTATAATGTAATATATAATATAAAATTTTTCTTTTAAGAAATAAAGTCTTTGATTTAATGTAAAGAAGCAATTGACAATATCAAGATTACAATAGATATATTTTGTTTTCATAAATGATTTTGGTATTAATATTACATTTTACTAATATGATATACAAGATATTATCATTGTAATATATTTTACTATTAACAAACACTACTGTGTCAAGAGATAAGTCCCAATTTACAGTTATTACACAAAATGTAAATAAAAAAAGCAACAAATGCAACTTGAACATGATGAAATATTAACCAGTCATGTACAGTTCGAAAATGAGTATTTAATTAAAAATAATATTAACAAGAGCGACACTGAAATAGATAAATGCAAATAATAAGTTTACCGTAATTGGAAGATAAGCATTTATTTTTTCAGCAAGCTTCATTCTTTCACCCTCTTCACCGTATATGTGGATCACGAAACGGTTCATCTTACTACAAAGTCTGCATATAAATCCCGTGATCACGGCTTTATCGGTGCTACCCATTTTGATTATTCCCTTAAGGTTATTATTACTATTATATTATGGCACTAATCGACACCCTGTGATTTAATATACACGTCAATAACTTCAACCGTAAGTTACTGCTCTACGAAATATCGCAAGATGTTATCCTTCCTTCAAGATTAAGTTTGTTTATCATAGTCTGTACAACTGGCGCTACTAGCACTGGGTTTCACTACTCCCGTCAGGACCGTATTATATTTTCCCTTTAATACTACAAATACATACATAATACATATGTGCATATATATGTACGTAACATGCAATGTTGTTCTATAATATTGAATATTTTAAAATTATTATATTTACAAATGAAAGTTAGCAATTAAAACTTGTTACAACTTTTAAATAAAAAACTTTCATGATAGTTTGCTAAAGTTTTAGAAAGTTTGGCATCAACATTTTTTGAATTCACTAATTACTCGTACTTTGATGCTTCTGTTCTTTTTTAAGGAACATTTATCCAATTTATTAATTATGTATAATCTGGATGAACAAAATTCAAGACATGAATTAAGTTAAATCTCTATAATTACATCTTACTAATGAAAGCTTGGTCAATCTCTAATTTTATTTAATATTATGATATGTCATGTTACAATTCATTCAATGTATGTATATACGCGCGCGCGCGCATATATATGCATGCATATGTATATTTGGTTGCGATCCCTGATTGGTACAGACTTAAGATCCGCATGGGTGCTAAGTCTATGATGCGGCGTTGGTTCCTTGTTGACTTCCCGATACCTGGTGATGATTCGAATCGTCGATGATGCTTGGTTTCCTGTTGTCGTCTCCGTGGAATCCGTGGATCCACTAATTCCTGTATTTGTAATCTATGCTATCTCTGATTGGAAGCGATAACGTTGTTAGGTTCGGTGGAATTTCTTTACTTTAAACTGTAGATGGAACGTGGAACTCATCAGTAATTTTCAAAGTTTCCTCTGTTGATAGGGTGTCATCATCAACCTCTAAGTGTGAGAATTCTTTTAAATTGTTAACACGAATTCCGCCTCGATATCTCCTTGGTACTTATTCATAGTCATCTGGTGATCTAATATCTATCAAAAACAATAATGACGTGTGAAAACCAACAACTTTATCTAATAAACTCTTTATTATATAGTCTTTATCCTCTAGCACGCGTATCGCGTGTAAATGCGCGAATGAGCGCGAATGCGAATCAGAACAAATCAGAATGCTAATGTTGGCGGCACACGTGGTGAGATGACCATGGAAAGAGGCGCGGCTGTAGCTCCTGTCTCCTCCTTCACGGACACCTCCTAGTGTCCGGATGTGTTAACTGTGGCGACTCGCCACACACGCACATAGATATGTATATACATATATATATGTTTATTGCTATGTATATGTAGTATATTTCACAATTCCTAATATAATTTTATATTTTTATGAATTGCTTCTAATATTTCAAATTGAAATTATATTGTAGTCCAAAATAAGTGCATTATATATTTGGAAAAATAAATATTGTACTTATATGAGTAGAAAAATTCATGTTTTTGTGTGCTTCTTAAATACAACAACAACAAATAATAATTTATTTATATTTCTTTTATATTATATACAAAATCTTATTCTTTGTATTTTATTATGTATGTACTCTTTTTAAAGAGCTCCCACAATTATTTTAAATTCCATGTATATTTCGGTAAAATATGGCGACGATCAGCTGTCTTCTGTCATAATGACGTTCATATTGATAAACAGGAGATTATGGATTTTTGTAACTTTATTTGTACAAATGTGATTGTATTTTGAGACAATTTTATTAAAATTTGTTTCACTATCGTATGATTTTTACATAGATGTAAAAGGATTTTTCGTAATGAATTGGTATTCACTGTTGCTCATCTGAAGTAAGCAGCAAGTGAACGCAGCTGCGTAAAAAAGCAATATGGTGACTAACGAATTAATCAACTGTTGAGGATAATCAAGAATACAAATGTTTAATAATATTACCAACTTTTGGAATGGGTGGTGGTGAAGTTGAGTGATGAACTTGACGTGATTAAAAGCCTTTTGAAGGCTGAAGAGAGAAAACCATGTGCGATGTGTGTGTTGACTTTCACGACCTTCTGCTCTCCTGTAAGCAAAATGTATACAATATCTTTCATGTTAACCTATTAAACTCTGTTGCATGTTGCGAACTTATATTCTCGCGTCGTCAATTGCTTCTTTAGCGTAAACTATTTAAGAACAAAATGTTGCATAAAGGAACGTTGAATTTGTTTCATACATTTTCTTTTAAAGTTTCGTTTGTAATATTAGAATGTATAACCTTACCGCTTATGGATAGTCTTGTGGCTTGTTGCGTTAAATGGAAAACTTATTTGAAGATTTAATTCTTCAAGATCCAATACTATCTTGTTAATTTTTTTACCCAGAACGTCGTAAATAATATTAAAATTGTACGACATGTTAAAATAATCAGCGCGCGCGCGCCCACACACACACACACACACACGAGTATTACATACAGACAACAGTCTAAATTAAATAATGTGTAAATTATTTACTAGTTACAGTAATAGAAAAAATTAACTAGTCATTTTATATTATTTGTATTATTTGTTTATAAATACAGTATGTTTTACATATTTATGTATATGTAACTTATATGTAGACGATGAAAGATCATCAAAAGAACAAGATGGACTGGCTACTCTTTATATTTCGGATGTGGATACGACATTGCATTATGTTAATCAATGGGTACAAAGGTCTGGTTCCATTTCCATTGTTTAAATAAATTATGAATGTATACAAATATTTAGTTGTAATATTTTACATCGTGTATGAACTTAAAAGATTTTTTTAGTTATCATTGTTTTAGGCAATGTATGTGCTGTTATCGAGAAATAAAAAATTTTGATCGTTTTATACGATTAACACAAAGTGTTGTGTTATGCACATTACAACAATTGCAAATTATACAACATAATGGACAAGAAACAGATGTTGAAAAATCATCGACTAAAGATGAAAAAGAAGAAGAAGAAAAAACTGATGAGGGAAAGGCAGAGGATTCAGATTTTGCACAAACAGAAACAAAACAAAGTTGGTCGCAACAAGATAGAGAAAAATTATTCCATCTACTCTCAAAGATATTTTTATTAAATTTTCCTCTTTATATTGCAATGAAACATGGTGGTGCAATTAATCCTTTAGCTCCAATAAAAGTAACTATTCATCATTTCTTAGGACATCTAAAGATTGCTTTTGTTAAAGTTGTACAATAAACTTTTATTATTTTTAAAGGATGAAGGTGGATATTGTGAGCCTCATGATCCAGAGGTACCAGCACCCTTAATACGAGCTGTCTCTATATTTTGCCATCAAGGTGGCTTTAATCTAATGTCAGCTTGTTTTGATATGGAAACTACATTACCAGTTAGTCTTGCACATTCTATGGTTGCAGTAATTTGTAATTTGAAACTTTGGTTGAATTATGGTAGCGTTATTCAGCTCTTTATACCGTTACGCAGCCGAGTTATGAAATATATGTGTCGTTTAGGAGACAAAGAATTACGCACACCTGCAGTTAGAACAATGGCTGGTAAATTAGCAAATTTACTATAGGTATTGTAATGTGTACTCCTGCTTTTTAATGATAAATTTATAATTTTACAAATTTAGATTTCATGTGGAGTGCTGTAAAAGATCCCATTGACGCAGTCTTACCAAGTTTTGATCGAGATGGATTGGATCTAGCGTTTAAATACTTTACTAGTACAACTTTAACCATGAGATTAGCTGGAATAGCTCAGATAAATGCTCATATCACAGCATTCAATGAACTTTGTAACAGTGAAACTATTGCTGAAGTGGAACAAGTGGGCCATGCATTGGCAGCTTGGTTGACAGAAAACAATATAATAGCTCACATATTTGGACCAAATTTGCATGTAGAAGTTATTAAACAAAGTCACATTGTATTAAGTTTTTTGGCTATGGAGGGTAGAATAGCATTATCAGATATGGATACCATGTGGCAAGCTGCACAATTAAAACACTGTGGACGTCCAGTATATGATTTGTTAGCACCCTTAGTGAAACATTTGGCTCCAACTCCAGTTCTACATTTGTATTCTTTGTTAGGAAAACTAGAACCAAAGGACCACACAGAACAAAGTTTATTTCTGGCATCTGCTTTGATTAAATTTATTTGGACAGCAGGTGGTTCAGGTTATCCAAGAGGTTTAACTATAAAAAATAGAGAAATTTTAAGAGTAAATAGCGGTGTTGGTGGTAGTAGTACTAGTGATCCCAGTGGTATGGATGGAAGCAGTCCAGACGAAGATGAAGAACCAAGTCCTGCTCCATCTGAAGGACCTTCACCAAGGAAACAAGCAAGAGGTGATAGCAGTGATGGAGAAGGTATGCTGCATATAAAAAATACACTTTTTTCCCTTAAGTATACTTACAATAAAATACATAAATTTACAGGTCCTTTCAAAGCAAAAAATATAGGCACAGCAGTTGTACAGACAAGCTTAAATGAAGCTGAAGGTTCTGCATTAGAAAAGTCTGAGTGTAATGTGGAGTCCATGAAAGATTCTGTGTGCAATACACAAGATGATATGAAAGGAAAACAGAGTGGATCGGATGCGGAGGCAGACACAGAAAAATCGAACGCAGAAGAAACAGTTGCCATTGAAAAGAAAAAGAGGAAAGTGTTAAGAAAAAGGAAGAAGCCACAAAAACGTTCTTTAGTTACTATGGATAAAACATTTGAAGATATTGTTAATCAAGAAAATGGCATGAAAACTAAAGATTTAATGATCGATATAAAAAGTAGAACTGAGGACAGCTTAAATAGTTCTTTAGACACAAGTGGACTAGTTTCTTTCGATGATCCGAAAAGCGTTGACGCATTGGATCGCGTGAAGCAACAAGCAATGGGATTAGATCCAAGTGATCAACAAGTTCCAACGACGGCAGCATTATTGAGAAGAGCGAATAAAAATAAATACATGTCGTTAGTAGGCCATAACGTAGACCGGGCTCCAGATTCTGCAGACACTTCACACGATGAAGATGATAGTGATGTAGCTGGAGTTCTTGCTGCGGCAGATGGTCCTAGCGCTGTTATATCTGAACTTGCAGGTTTGGTACATGCGACTGGACCAACGTTTTTGCCTTCCGGTCTGGATGAAATGTTATCAGACGAAGAAGGATCTTATAGTAGTAGAATATCAAATAAAAGTGAAAAAAATATGGCAGACTTCGATGGAGAAGAAAGTGGTTGCGAAGAAGAATTAACACAACTTGCGGCACGTCATTTAACAGCTATACAAATGCAAGCTTATCATCCACATCATTCTCATTCAACGATGACGATTAGACGATCTGTTTGTCGTCCTCCACAAGTAAGAAGTGTTCGTCAGACTGTTACACGCGTTAGTTCTCAATTTAACTTGGATAATGTATGCAAATCTGGAAATACATTATTATGGGATCTTTTACAAGATGACAAAATTGGTCAACTAGGGGAAGGTTTAGCTTTAGAAGCTGAGAAGGCATTATGCAATCTTCTTTGCTTTAACGTTGACCGACTTATACCTATGAAATTCATAGAAGGTTGTTTAGAAAATCTAGCAACTAACCGTTCAGTAGTTGTGTCTCTAAGGTTATTACCCAAATTACTTGCAAGTTTCCAACAATTTGGCGCAATGGATGCGCATACAATAACGACATGGGCAGATCGTGAACGTGGAATGATGAAACACTTTTTCAACAATCTAAAAACGTACACCAGCACGGGGCCAAAAAACAGTCTGTATTCTCATCAAACAGAAATACAAGTAAGATTACAATTTCTGTCTTCAATCTTTTCGCCTTTGGGTTCACCTGACTGTTTTCGATTAAGTCTTGAACAAGTTGACATACTGTGGCAATGTTTATCCCAAGACCCAACATGTGCCGATGAACTCTTCAGTTGGTTACTCAGTCAAGCAAAGTCAACAGAACAACATGCCCTTGGAATGGATACACTTAAACATCTATGTATGCGTAAACTACCAAGTTTACCACCTGAAACTATTAGCATGATGGGTCTTAGTCTTTTTCAGCAATTATGTAATTTGGCTCGTTTGGCTGCTGCACACTTAGATAGACCTCTAAGGGACGTAGATTCGGTTGGCATGGATTTCTTGTGGAGAATAGCATTGAAAGCTAAAAGTACAGATGTCAGTATGGCGGCTATACAATATTTAAATGGTTACTATATGTCCAGGCAATTAACGCAAGAAGCAGAGTTTGTTTCACAGTGTATGACTCATCTTGCGGCAGCTAGTGCTGACTTAGATACAAATGAAGAAGCTAGTTTACGTTGCATACAACGAGCTTTGTTGTTGTTGAGGACACACTTAGAAGCTTTTCGGAAACGGTACGCCTATCATTTACGTCGTTGGGTATTAGAAGGTAGAGGAGCTGGTAGTCATGTAGCCATGAACACTTCCGAGAAGGGCCAGCAGCTGAGGATATTCGTACAACCAGCTGGAATTCCGGAAAAAACAAGCTTTACACTTTTCAGTACTGATTATGTTGCTGATCTAAGAGCAGAAGTTGCTAAGTGGTGGGATGATACGCAAAACACTCAAGAAAAGTCATCATCTTCTACAAACACAAATCAAAGTAATGGATCAGTGTTAGGATCTTTACTTACTGATGGGCCAATTAGAATGATCACACAGGGTCAGGAATTAACAATTGATTTTGACGAGAAAACATTACAGGAAATGGGTTTTAAAGATGGTCAATTAGTGTTCATTTCTCCTGGTGCTGGTCGAAGTAACGGTACAGGTAGATGCAATAAACGAGACATGGATTCACCGTCTCTTTTACCACCTCCTCCTCGAGAGTCTTTACCAACATTATTACTCCTACGACCACAATATTTTGAACAATTATTCACACTGATGAGAACTTTGAGTGCTATGAAAACTGTAGTTAAAGGTGGACAGGAAATTCCTCATACAAAAGCTCAAGTACTTTCAAGAAGAGTTTGGGATACATTGACTTTATTACCAACCAGTCCTACTTTATTGAGAGGTTTTCAGAAGTTAGGAGAAACTACTCTACCGGAATTGCTTGATCCTGCTAGTCCCCAGAAGTTGATGTACTCTTTATATATAGTAGAGTCTTTAAGTAGACGCAGTACAACAAGTCAGCCTTCTGTCGTGAATTCCTCATCTTCTGCAGCTACCCATGAGGGAGGTGGTGATGCAGATGATAATCAGGAAGACAAAGAAAAAGATGTTGTTTGGTCTACTTTGTTTGTTCAACATGGTGGTTTGCGACATTTGTTCGATATTTTCATGTCAGGGTGTTTGGAACAGGGAGATGGTAGCGAGTGGCAACAGGATTGTCTCGCTAGTTTACTAAAACAATTATGTCATTTGGGCGTTGTTAAGGAAGAAAAGAAAAGAAGTAAAGCTGATAAATTACTCGTACCTAAATTAAGTGAAGCAATGCTTTCTATGATGAATGTGGATGCTGTTATGGCTCGAATAACGAGTATATTAAATGAAGCATCTTTGCCTAGAGATCCAAATCACTATAAAACAGGTCTCTTCGGTAGATCCCAAGTTATACATTATACAATGGCTTTATTAGTTTGTTGGGTACACAGTGATGATACAGTTAGACAATATCTTTTTTCATCAGGCGAACCTTTCGGAAAAACGTGGTTACGAAGATTAGTTTTGGAAGATCCTGAACCAGCCGTCAGAAGAGAAGTTTGTACAGCATTATATAGATTATGCTTAGGTAATACAGGTTCTGAGGATGACAATTCAGATATTGCAAGCTTGATTGTACCAATGTTGAATACATTATTAGAACATCTTGTGATAGCAGAAGCAATGCAACCTTCCCACAGGAAACCAGACTTACCGTTACACTTGCATCCAGTATTGGATGATGGAAAAGAACCATATGGCCCTGCTTGCAGGGACTATTTTTGGCTAGTTTGTCGATTAGTCGATTCTTTACCAGAAGAAGCAATCAAAGAAGGAACAGACGATTCTAATTCAACAATAGATCTGGAAGCACTAGCAATAAGAGTGATCGACTCTGTCTTAAATAGAGAACATCTTGAAACTCGTCATAATACTATAGAAGATGATGGTTTAGTAGGGTTATTAAATCTTACTTGTAACATAATGACGCATAATCCATCCTGTAAACAAGGAAAAATTGGACAAAACTTATTGCATGAAGTGTTCGATTTTCTGTTCGCATTGCCAAATCCGCGATCAAAACATGTTCCCAAGTGTAAAAGTCAAGTTTCCAGGTCAGCAGCATTTGACCTACTAGTTGAACTTGTAAAATCGGCACCCGATAATTATAGAATCCTTCATGAAAAACTATTAGCTCAGCATAAACCTGGTCCTCATTCTCCATACCCATGGGACTATTGGCCACACGAAGACGGGCGTTCTGATTGTGGATACGTAGGTTTAACCAACTTAGGTGCAACTTGCTACATGGCTAGCTGCATGCAACATCTGTATATGATGCCGCAAGCACGTGTCTCCATATTGGGCGCCGATTGTAATAGAGCAAATAAGCATCAACTCACATTAAGGGAACTACAGAGAATGTTTGCTTATCTTTTAGAATCTGAGAGAAAAGCATACAATCCTCGAAGTTTCTGTAGAGTGTATACAATGAATCATGAGCCACTTAATACTGGTGAACAAAAGGATATGGCTGAATTCTTTATAGACCTTGTGTCTAAATTGGAAGAGATGACAGCAGATCTAAAAAACTTGGTGAAAACATTATTTTGTGGTGTAATATCTAATAATGTTGTATCATTAGACTGTGAACATGTAAGTAGAACGTTGGAAGAATTTTACACTGTTCGTTGCCAAGTAGCTGACATGAGAAATCTCTATGAAAGTTTAGATGAAGTGACGGTTAAAGACACTCTAGAAGGAGATAATATGTATACATGCTCTCAATGTGGTAAAAAAGCTAGAGCAGAAAAAAGAGCATGTTTTAAAAAATTACCACACATATTATGCTTTAATACTATGCGATATACTTTTAATATGGGCACTATGTTGAAGGAGAAAGTAAATACGCATTTCAGTTTTCCATTGAGGTTAGACATGTCCGGATATGTTGAAAAGAAACTAATGCCCCAACATTATCAAGAAGAAAAGAAAGCTTCAGAAAAAAAGAAATCTGAAAGTGATCAAACAAAGCTGGATAATAACGATGACGAAGATGAAAAAGAATACTATCAGTATGACTTAATAGGCGTAACTGTTCACACGGGTACTGCTGATGGTGGACATTATTATAGTTTCATTAGAGATCGCACATGTCCTAACAAAGATAAGTGGTTCTTATTCAACGATGCTGAAGTTAAACCATTTGATCCCAATCAAATAGCAGCAGAATGTTTTGGGGGTGAAATGACAAGTAAAACATATGACTCAGTTACAGATAAATTTATGGATTTCAGTTTTGAGAAAACAAACTCTGCTTATATGCTTTTCTACGAATGGTGTGCTGATCCTGGTGATCAAGTAAAAGAAGAAGAAGCTACTGTTTCTAGTCCAAACGGACGACAAACTTCTACATTGATTCAAAAGACTACTAAAAAATTACCACCGTTAGAGTTGAATAAAGAACTTGAAGATTGGATATGGCAAGATAATATGCACTTTCTCCAAGATAAAAATATATTTGAACATACTTACTTCACATTCATGTGGCAAATATGCGGATACATACCGCAAACGTTACTCTCTGTTCAGCCTGACATAACAGAAATGTCAGCTGATTTGTCAACATCATTCTTTATGGAAACTTTTATTCACGCTAAAGAAAAACCGACTATGGTGCAATGGGTAGAACTGTTAACTAAACAGTTTAACAGTTCTGCTGGTGCATGTGCTAGATTTCTCGAAAGAATGGCTAGTGACTCATGGTGGCCAATTCAAATTCTAGTCAAATGCCCGAATCAAATGGTAAGGCAAATGTTCCAAAGGCTATGCATTCATGTGATACAACGATTGCGCGCTACTCAAGCACCTTTGTATCTTCTTTGTGATGAGGAAAATGACGTGAACACTGTTGGTACCCGTTCATGTGTAACTAGATTTGTGAGAATGCTTTTATCACTCATGGAACATGCAAAACAACATTTGAAACATCTTACAGAATATTTTAGTTTTTTATATGAATTCAGCAAAATGGGCGAGGAAGAAACGCTTTTCCTAATCAGAGTGCAAGCCATTTCAACTATGGTAAATTTTTATCTTGGTCACAAGACACATGAATTTGTAGATGCAGTTAGTGAAGAAGAAGAAGAGGAAGAAATCGTTGCCATGCCAACAGAAAAATTAAGACCTGCTTCTTTAGACAAGATGATCACTTTGATAGCAACATTGGTCGAACGTAGTAGAGGACCCGATCACAGACTAGCTTTGTCTCCAGCAGACCTCAGTGCTGTTGCTGGAGGTAAAGGATTTCCATTTCTTTATCAACAAACGCGAGATGTCATTAACCTTAACCAAACAAGAAACTTAATTCAATCTTTGTGTCGTTGGAATGACAGATTAGCTATACATATTGTAACAATGATATTCCAAGCTATAACGAAACATACAGATGTGTGCCAACCGTTCTTTAAGCTTCTAACACTATTGACAGAAAGTTCAGGACCTAGTGGTTTACCTTGTATGACTCAACTGATTTTGGGCAGAGTATGGGAAGCAGCCAGAGTTGCACCTCATGGTGCATTGGAGTGGTTAGCTTTGGCTGTGACAAGAAGCAAACTTGCACATGCCTGGGTGCTGCAAGGGCTAGATACATGGTTACAACATTTCTTATTGGAACACTCAAATCAAAGAGTTCGTTCAGCAGCTGCTTTTCTCCTTGTGTCTCTAGTTCCCTCGACTCACTTTAGGCAAGGCTATCGCAGCGCTCACCGATTAGGTTTAGGTTGCAATACATCTAGAGAATTGCAACTATCACCGGAAGCTACTTTAATATTGCATCAAATATATACAGCACTTTTAAGATTACTACAACCGGCAAGACTCTATATCGATATACAGACCCATGGTACAATGAAACTCACTGCCTATTTTGCATTGCTCACCTATTGTGTTGTTTCAAAGACAGAAAAATTAATGGTAAGTGTAATATAACATATTATGATTCATTTACATGATGTTGTAAATTATTTACTTCTAGTTTGGACAATATCTAAATGATTTATGGACACTGTTTCATCCGAAACTTTCTGAGCCTAGCATTCCAGTGCATCACAATAAACAAGCTGTATTATTATTTTGGTACCACGTCTGTTCAGACTGTCCAGAAAATGTTGCTCATATACTTCATAATCCACATATAACTAAAAATATTGCATTTAATTATATATTGTAAGCTCGTTTTTCTTCCACATGTAAATGATACTTATGTAATTTTCTAGTAAAATATGTATTGTAGGGCCGATCATGAGGATCAGGATGTAGTATTATTTAACAGAGTAATGCTGCCTGCTTATTATGGTTTGTTACGACTTTGCTGTCAACAATCGCGCACCTTTACAAGACAATTAGCTGCACATCAAAACATTCAATGGGCGTTCAAGAATATTACACCACATCCTACTCAATACTCAACCGTAAGATTAATAATATTTACACTTACTAATTCTGTAACTGCAAGAAAAAACTTTACAAGTCAAATGCTTCGTATTAGTAGTGTTTCAAAGTGCACAATTTTTTTGAGTCTATAGAATTTGTTTTCATGATATTTTTTCTGATAAATACGTAAATTCTATACGCTGCAGTTCAATTAATGCATTCACTTAAATTTTCTCATACATTATAATATTCAGTCAGTCACCAATCAATCTCTTATAATATTCAGTTAGACTGATAGGGAATATCTCAAATCAAATTTATTAAACATAAGTACTATTTTTATCCCTTAAAGTAAGATTGAAAGAAAACATGGTAGAAGATTAAAGCAAGAATGTAATTTTGTTTTTTGTTATAGGCTGTAGATGAACTGTTCAAATTGATGCAATTATTAGTAGCTAGGCATCCGGATCAAACAGAGCAAGAAGAATCTGAAATTGCATCATTCAGGAGAGGAACACTATCTTCGTACTTACAAGGACTAGATGGGCGGTCATGTTGGGCTACACTCATCTCTGCATTCCGGTATCATATTTAATGTTATTAGACACAGAACGTTTACATATTTCTGTTAAAATCGTTTATCATCATTTTCAAATTTATTTGAAGGTTATCGACGTTTTATAAACAACGCGATATATTTTTATCTTCATAATATTGTAGTTAATGTCAAGACGAGTTGAATTATTTATGATCTATATTGTATTAATATATTCATATTTGTTTTACAGTATTTTAATCGAAACAGATGACGACCGCTTGTACGTTGTGTACAATGGAGGATTAAGTATGGCTCTGGAAGCATTTCACATGTTGCATATAATGTATCATGAAGCAACAGCGTGTCATGTAGCTGGCGATCTAGCTGAATTAATTGCAATTATCGTCGAACTGGTACGATGCATCAGAACTGCTAGAGAAGGACCTGACGCAAGAAATATATTAGCTAATTGTAAAGAATGGCCAGACATTCTTCGGAAATTGGCGACATTATTGAATACGTACAATCCACCGGACATGAGAAATCTTGCTATAGATCTTTTGAAGGAACTTGTGATGCTTGTACCTGCTGAGGCTATATTAATTTTAGCGCCATTGCTCTCACACTGCCACGCAGCTCTTCAAGAGTCCCATGCTGCTGTTCCACCTGGTCCATATCTTCCAAGAAGATCTACTCCTCCAGGAAAAATGCCTACTCGACCCGCCAGACCAATGGTTCAAATGGCCGTGCCGCATTCTCAATTGGAAGCATCAAAAGGAGTGGACCCGGAATATGACAGTGCTTTGCTCGAGTTTTATTTACCGTATCATGAACTTATTGATGTGATGTGTAGATTGGCAATCAATAACGATTGTATGACAGACACGTTAGTTAACTTAAGTGCTATGTTAGGATTCGAAGGTGGGTACTAACAGTTATTGATAAATTTGCAAACTGGGTAACTTTTGCAGTCGGAGTCAGGAATTTTGTGCCAAATTTCAGTTACATCAAATTTGTCGGTTGATAATTATTTTTTCCAATTAAAAAATGTTTAATCATGATCTACAAATTTGTTGAAAGAGACAGAATTCTACTACCGATTGTAGAAAGTGCTCAATTCAGTGTCAAATAACTTAATGATGTTGTAATGAAATAACTGAATTACAGGTGTCCCATTGCACTTAGCATTGTTTCCTCGATTGTGGTTAGATGTTCATGCGGCTACACACATAGACAGAAAGCATATTGCATCTCTTCTCTGTTCTTCTTATACAGTGGACTATGTTGATGCTGTACTATTGGATGAGAGATCATCGTTAGGTGTACCAGCAATACATGCTTTTCTGAAAACCTTCTTTCCTAAGCTTGCTAACCATGTGTTAACTGAACAGACTTGTTTACTTATTGACAACTTAGTTAGTTCTATGATGGCAATGGTTGAGGCAGTAGATATTCAAGCATCTGCACATAGATTAACTGGGGACTTAAGAGCACTAGCTTTAGTCTACAGTAGCAGTTCGAGATTGAAACCACCAGCTACCTTGTTACCAGCCTTGGAGACTCTGTTGACTCGAACCAGAGCCATTAAAGTAAAAGAGTCCAATCAACAGGAAATAGAAGCACCCTCAAAAAAACGGAAGTTCACTGTGAACGAAGATAGTGAAACTTCTGATAAGGAATTGCATCTACCGATTAAAGAACTTAATGAACAGAAAAATGTTTCTGACATAGACACTGAAGAAAAGGATAAAACAGAAGGGAATGATGTGGCTTCATCTGAATCTGGAGATGACAAGACTATATCAAAACATAAGAGCAACAGTCAAGTAGAAAATATTCCAACAAGCGTTAGTACAACATCTCCAAGTTTATTTGATACAGTGACAGCCAATAACTGTGCAAGCCAATTAAGATGTTCGTTGACCAATGTCTCTTGGCTTGAAATGCTGGAGAAGACCATTGTTGACCTACAAATGATTGTGCAATTGCAAACAAAGAACAACTAATTCTGTAAATGTTTCTGAATGGTGCTTTAACATAGAAGCATACAACACAGGACTAAGTTCACGTGTAACCATTACCGTTCTTCAAAAATTACAGAACGAAAATTGAGTTATACGTCTTCTGAATTTAGAAGAACAAATTTTTAGTGTGTTTGTGTTCTATAAAAATGAGATAAATATGTTTCTACGTATGGATTGAATGCAATTTATTTTCCAAATGTAGGTGCATAAGATACTTTCATTGACTTAAATTATATCAACCACGAAAAAATGAAGATAAAAGCAAATCATAAAACAGAACTAAAAAGTTTTTCATATTATCTAGTAAATGTTCGTTAGTGCTGTGAGATCACTTGTCTCTTGGCAATATTTGGCATATGCTATTTGAGTGTACGGTATTATAAGCCACTCAGTATTTGTTAACAGGAATTGCAATAGCTTCGAGATAGTTTAGGAGATGCAATTAAGTTTGTTAAAACTGTAATCGTTTTATATATGCTTATCTTGGTTAATGAAAGTTATCACAGGTTTCTTTAAAATTGCCGCAGTAACTTTACTAGTATAAGTCGTAATATTTTCTCTATATTATTACAAGCTAATTAAAAACACTACATTGGCTTGTCATTGTACTATACTTTCGATAATACTTTTGAAAATTTTCAATCATGTAGTTCATAAACGAATTCTTTTATCACTTAAATCATAGCACACGTTTTTTCAACTAATTTACGTGTTATAGCATTATGTCTTTATTTATTTTTCTCTCTTCTAAATAAATCGCCCAAAGGAACCTAGTAAATTTACTTTCGACACGTGTGTCTATTTTGGAACATATTTGTCTATGTTTTGTACAACATATCATGGTCCTTTTAATACATGAAATTATATCTCGCATATAATAGCGTCAGTCAAAGAATCTAATTTGTATCACTAATCATTTTCGTTCTTATTAAAATTATTCGAACATTTTTCGCATCGTAGTTACCGAGCTGCAATTTTTAATTACAACGATTACAAAAATAAATTTAACGTTCATAGCATTAGCATACTACCTCCTCGCTCTCTTTTGTATAACGATTAACAATAAAGACATCTCACATCACAAATGAACAGTGCTGAAATTTTTGAAGGATTCGCCAAAAAATCTGAGTATTGTATGAAAAAAATGAAAATATGTTCACACAGCAAAAAAAAATACGAAACTGAAAACATATCCGTTCAGATCCAGACAGTTTGACTAGTAGAAAGAAAATGTATACTTATTGTATTTTCGTTCGTTTTTTTACTAACTCGTTCTATAAATAAATAACTTTGCCACTCTTTTTGACACTACGTTCGAGGAGACGTCAGTATAATTAAGCTTTAAATGCTGACCGGTTTAATAACATAATACTTTATTCATAATACAGATGCGTGCTAGAATCTGAGTCAGCCTAGCTGCTCGGTGATACAGTGTTTCGGGATAAATTCATATTTCGAGGAATTTATTACCCTAATTAACAACCTAATCAATTACATGCAACTTTTAATAAGTGCGCTAGTTCCATACACCCCAGCAATGAACTTACTCAAAAACATTGTGACCTAATTGAATAAGTTTCTCGAAATGTTTCAACTCTGTAATGGTCGAAATATTGTTTCACCTATTTTTACGACCTAGTACGTTGTTCAAGGAAAGATATATAATTTATTGTATACGCTTGTATACGTGAATGTATGCACATAACGCGAATAATAACCCAGACGCACGTTCTCGTCAGAGTTGAGCTTATTGTCAGATAATGGCACTAAAGTATGGTATCTCGTCCACATTGAGATTCATAAATTACTATGAGTGTTTGCAATTTCTATACAATAGTGGAACGACGTATGTTTGCAACGCGAGATTAGCAAATATTGTGAACTGAGATTGTGCGGTATACCTGTGCGAGATATTTGTTTCTCCGACATATTAATGTTACTTAATTACCTGAGAAGGGGAGGACACAAACTGAACAGAGTACTTGAAAGTATGAAAAAATACAGAATATTGTCAAAACATTTGATTTGTTCGAGTTTATTTAAAATTTAGAAAGATTACTTTCTATCAATTTGTTTTTCAATGTCGCAAATTTTCTTCGTGGTCTTTTTATCTACTTTTTGTAGGGTATAGTTGAAAACGTTGAGAAAACTTACAGTAGCCTCCCCTTATAAGAGAAACGTATCTCAAGCAGTATTTTGAGTCATTTAACATTGAAAATATTACGTCATGGGATATGAATTGACGGATTTTTCATCATTCATAACTTCATCGCACAAATAATTGATACAGTATTGAAAAATTTATATTTTTTCGTATTATGTTAAAGTTTATATAACTTTTCATCAATTACCATTATTATTTTTTTCGGCTTTTGAATGTTTATCATTTTTGCAGAAATTTTATGTAATGGTGTTTACTAAAAAAGTGATATTTTTATGCAAGTTCGAACTCTAACATAATGTGACCTATGCCATCCTCGATATCAACAGTTGGGCTGCGCTATATCCTAGTTCGAACCTGCATAGAAAAATCAATCTTATCCTATTAGTTGAAATTTTAGAGAACATTGTAAACATTCAAAAGCAAGAAAGAAACAATAATGATAATTGGTGATAAATTATAATACACTTTCAGGTAGTACGATAAAGCATACAGCTTTTTAATACCGAATCAATAATTTGTACAATTGAGTTGTGAATTATTAGAAATTTAACGTTTCATATTGCACGGACTAATAATTACAGATTTTGGGAACAGCTTCTAACGACTGTTGTTACGTTAGCTATCATAACGTAAATACGGCAAGTATGAAATAAAAAGAAAAATGTTGACAAGAATATTGGCTTTAAGTTTTCTCGCGTAGACAGTTTGTTCGAGTGCGTGGAATAGTGTATTCATTATGAAGCTCGTTCTCTTGGTGTCTTAACATCATTCGTTAATAAATATTACGAAAGCGAAACGAAACATGTTCCATAAGAATCTACAATAAACAAAGTTAAATATTTCGTAATATGCTTGATCGATATCGCGTCATATTTCAAATTGTATTTCTAACATTCGACGTAAATTATATATATATAATTGTGATGGAAATACTGTGATTAGCAATCTTAGGTCTATTTCTGCTAATTTTCAAACTAAATATACGGATATGATGAACGTATCCGTACACGCACATACAATTACAATGAATTTTTCACGGATTCAAATATTTTTAACCGTTACGTGTCGATGATGATCATTAAGTTCCATGAAATCAGAAGTATATGTAATAGTGATTGAAACTTCGAAAATAAGTTTTAATAAAAGAGGGAAAATGGGAGAAGAATGTGCGGGGAGACATAATATGATCGTAATAAAGATACATACATGCGAGATGAGCATTTACATTTTACTTTTAATTATTAAAAATGACAAAATGTTTCATACAACACATTTCGATAATCTCCATATTTATAAATAAAAAACGAAACAATACACGTGATAGAACGCTTGAGCTTTCGAAATAATTGCATTCGGAGGTGGTTAAGACTGTATAAAAACATTTTGGGCGTACTATAATACTTTTGTCATTTTATCAGCCTTCCGAAAATGTCGGAATCTACTTCGCCAGATTTGTATCTCCAGTATGTGTTTACATTTATGTATTCATTTATATACTTAAGGTGTATAGTTTTTGATCGACGATAAATAAATAAACACTTTTCATTTTAAAATTCTATGCACACAAGTATTCTTTCGAATTTCGGATATTCTGACCTATTGTGCTTATAAAGAAGGTATAAATGATTTTTAAAAAACAAACTGAAATATCGAACGAATTTTAAAAGAATTAAATACGAAATTTCGAATAAGAAAAAATCTATATCTATATGACGAAATCAATGACGTCAAGGAAATCAGATTCAAATTAATCACATTTATATTTAGCCAACTTTATATTCTACTACATGTGTATAAAATATATAAATATACAAACAATTTATCTGAAAAGATCGTTGTTTCATTAATGTAATATAAGTCTGTTTTTTAAAAAAGTCATTTCTTTTTTCGTAAACTCTGTTACAATTTGAATAAAGCTTCATTTATCCTTATTTTCCTTTATTCTTAGTGATATCAGTGATATGTTTGTGTGTAGTGGACACATATGGGGTCTGCACAGAATCGCAATGCGGTGCAGTACCTATTACCCATTGTATGTTACATACAAAGAATTAGTATGTTTACGTTTCCTCCTTTACTATTTTAAAGAAATACAATCGTCTCAACATTTTTCAATGTTTTTAGTAGGATGTGATAGTAAAAATATTCAAAATTGAATATTGTACGTACGAAAGAAACATTGATTACGTATACGATGGATAACTCGCGACCGCCAATGGATAACCTCTTTAACATGCTGTCAAGCTTGAGTGCGGGTCACGAAAACGCTTTAAAGCAAGGCATTTACAATGCCGTGGCACTGTTTCTTTTATGCCTGATTTCAGTGGCTGGTTATGGGCTGTATATTATATTGAGTCCTTTCGTAAAACCCTTGATATGGGCCTTATTATGTGGGTCTGTTTTATTCCCATTTAAATATTCATTAACTACCATTGTAGAGTCATGGTTCGAAAAAACAGAAACATCTCGTACACCACTAGTTATAAACTTAACTTTACTACCCTTGCAAATAGTGGATAAAATCTCTGACAACTTGGGATCATTCCTATGGGGTCACATTAAATATATTATTGCTACGTTTTTGTTGGGAGCTATGGGTCTTGGTTTATACCATTATACACCAAATATACTAAATTGTCTTGTATGGAGAATATGTATGAGCTTCAATTTTATTCTTGGATTTTTTATAACAACATGTAACATTTATACGGTGAGTTCTAAATATTTAAAACTGAATGTGCCAAGGTCTAAAAGTGACTGTATATGTTGCCTTACAAAGATTACCAAATTGAATTTATTTAAATTTCTAGTAATGTCTATTATAATATATCCATACAAAATGGGAAACCAGTCATTTGACATACAGTGGTACATTCAGTGTTAATTCTTTAAGTTCCATTATTTTTAATAGTCTTAAAAAGG